GGGCAGGCAGCGCTCCCAGCCTGCTGCAGCTCCGCCGGCTCCGCCGTAAACACCCTACAAGGCGCTCGGCGCCTACCGCTCCTCTCTAGTAGCAGCGCCACCGCACACGCCTCTCCCCGGCCGCTCCTGCCTCCTGCTCCCTCCGTTTTGCTCTGCTCTGCTTTGTTTTTTGCTTGGTGTTTTTTTTTTTTTTTTTGGTTTCCATCTATATACATACATATATATTTATAGGCTCAGTGCTGTTACGGGGGAGAATGGGGGATGAGGGGGGGTCAATGCATTTTTAGGAGATTTTTCACCGTCTGGGCGCACCAGGGGGCTTGAAAAGCCCTGTGTTAATGCTTCTGTCCCCCTTTCTATAGCTACAGCACCTTCTGCAAAGCTGTGAGCGGAAGAGAAGCCAGGTTGCTGAATCCTGGACCGGTGTCTTTGGGGAATCGTGGTGTGTGAGGTGGGGTGGGCGCAGAGCGGGTGGGCTAAACCCTCAAAATCTGGATCCATGCTTCCTAAGGCAGGAGCCTGTTTGCGTCCAGGTCTCTGCCAGAGCTCCTTTTTCCCAGGCTCTCCCGTTCACCTGTTGGAAGGAGCGTATATAATTGCCCGTTCCCTGCCCGGGATTTCCTGCTCTCAGGGGAGTGAGAGCTTCTCTTTGTTTACTATGAAAGGCCACCCCAGTCTAAAGTTCAGCAGCAAAAGATAACAAACCTTTGGAGCAGAGTTTTGTTCTCTGGGGAATGAAAACAAAAAGTAAGAGCTGTTGCGAACAGGTCGGTTCACCCAGAAACAGAATTTCAGGCTAACCCCCCCTCTCCCCCCTCGGCGCCATATGTCATAGGTCCCATCCTGCCCTTGCAAAGCCAGGGGAGAAGTCCCCATGCTGGTATGTGGCCATGCGAAGGGCTGCGGAGAGGGGTGGTGGGACCCCCATGTGGGACGCAGCCGGCCCGTCCCCTGCCACCCGGTGACACCTCTGCCTCGCGGGCGTCTCGAGGAGGAGCCGCGGGGGCCGCAGGACGGCTCCGCGGGGGGTGGGGCGGCGCCGGCGGGTCCCGGTTCCCCATGCGGCGCGAGCGCTGGGGAAGGGGCCGTGCTGGGGACCCTTGGGGTCTCCCTCCCCTACGACGGCTCATTGAGCCACCAGCAAACCTCCAACGCCCCAGTGGGGACCACAGGGATGGCGGAAAGCTGCCTTTGACCCCCAAGTCTCGCTGCCCGCCCCATCCCAGGGCCCAGGGCAGCTTTTCAAGCAGAGCCCGCAAATTTTGGAGACGTGAAGGCCAACAGTATTGCAGTCTCGCCAGGCTGCAGTTTCACATCTGTAGTCTGGGAGCTTTCACCAATTTGATTAGCTCAGCTCCCACAAACGGGGTTCCCCATGACGGGGG